CATGGTGCCAATGTTCGTCAGAGGAGTTGCGATACGAGCAGTCGGCCCATCACATACTCTGGGAGTGTGATCTCTGGCAATATGAACGTAACACTATGTTGAATAATTTAATTGTTTCATCAGGTGTAGCTTATTATACGGACCTTGTGGAATCTAGAACAAATTTCCGTGCGTTTAGGCGCTTTTGCCATACCTATTATTGGAAGCAAGTATAACAGCTCACACATAGGACCCACTTAGGTTTTTAGTCAAATTTCCGTGGTGCTTGGCGACTGGGCTTCACCCAGTTGTACAGTCTCTTCTTTGTGCCTTTAGGCTTAATTCGTTCTGTCTCCTGCAGTAATTCACCGAGGAAAGTGGAAACTATAGTTTTTTCTTCTTCTCCTTTTATAATATCTTCTGATTCACTTCGTTGCGGGAACCAAGACAGTTACTCATGTCCCTGGGACGCGCCGGACTTCAATGTTCCGGTGTTTTCATGGTTGTATCTACTGTACATCCTGGCTTACAGGAGTTTCAGCGGTTTTGGGAGGTTGTGGCGGGCTTGTCCCATTTAAAAAAGAAAGGGTATGAATATCGGGTATAAAAGTAAATTTTATATAGTCAAAGTTTGACTTTATCAAAGTTAAACCATAATTTGTTACTATAGAAACAACAACAAAAAGTGAAGGATAAGATCGTAAAGAAACCTAGACTTATAATTTTTTATTATAAGTTTGAAATCGGCTTCCCTCCTTGATTAAGCGTGGTGATTAATGCTCAAACCCTCTCCGTGTGAGAAGAGGTTTTGCTCAGCAGTGGACATTTATAGGCTGTTGATGATAATGATGGTGACGTTGATAGTAGATATAAATTGTGTCTAGAGATAATTTGGAGGTTGAGAGAGTGACTACCTTTTTTCCTTTATTCACATGAGCAATGCAGCGTGTAACAATTAGTGTTAATAAAGATAAACGCTAGTACTCACTGTAGGCTACGATATTACACAATGACTCTATTGTTAAGAATATCTTCAGTAAATAGCCTATCTAAAGCCCTAAGTATTATAAGTGCTTCTCATCACAGTACCTAAGTATATATTGCTTAATTCTTAAGATGGGTTGCTTAACACATCGTAGGCTAGGCTCTAAATCCTTGCGAAATACTCACAGGTCAACTGGAAGTTACAAACGGATGTATATGGCAAAATAACTGCATATGTAATTGATTCTAGAATATCCTTCCTAAGAAGCATTTGAATGTGATTTGTTAGTATGTGTGTTTTTTAGTACGAATTTGTCGTTTAAAGTAATCGACACGGTTCGTTCTTAGTGCACGAATTACTGAACTAATTTGAATGCATTTGACGTAGGAGAGAATTCATAGTGTAGGCCACTCTATGTTAAAAATAAAAACCTCCTTTGTAGCGCGATCTCTATAAACTCCCAATATTTAGACCTCTATAGAGAACTCCTTAGTATTAAAATCCCTCTCCCAATTAATTTTCACTCACTATTAACCCATTTTTACCATAACATTTTGGCAAAATTCATTACTAAAAATAATATTAAGATCTAATGTATAATGAGAGTGCCTAATATAATAATGCTTTAAATGTCAAATTTTCAAATTCCAAATTCAAATCGTTTATTGCGAATATAGGTCAAGTGTTGATGTTACAGTAACTAGTTATTATAAAATAATTTGACCAACTACATTCTGCCATTTAGCATGCAATATTTATTGTGAAAATTACAATTACAATTTATAAATGCTATGTTTTGTCCCTTTTTTATTTAAATACATAATCTGTAATGCCCTCACCTGCCGTAACACATGACGCTGGCAGAATAGTCAACTACTAAATAGTGGAGACTCAATTGCCATAGAAGAAAAAAAAATAAAGAAAAACAGTGTGTTCGCGCTTCAATTCAAAAATCGAAGTCCGCGCCAACAATGGCCGCCAAAACGTTGAGTCGTTGAAGGAGTGAGTGTTTTTCCCGCCTATTTCCTCAGTTTCTTGAATTCATTGTGGACACATCAAGCCTAATCTATTACATAGGGATTCACATTTATCTGGATTTTTCGCTTGTCAAATATTCTTAGTAATGCCACGGGGTCCGGAAATACGTCAAAGGTAAAATGTAGCATATATTAATCTCCAGTGTTCAAATATCGTACGTCGAAAACCGATTCGTTATGACGTGAAAAACTAAAGAAATACACTTTCACATTCCTTAATTAGGAAGGATTTCCAAATCCTTTCTGTCTTCACCTAGAATTACAAATTGGTGTCGCCAAAAGCGTCTAGAATTTTCGATGACTTTTCGAATCCACAGCTATATCGAAAGGTTACTTGTTAGAAGCTAGCTTAATCTTTTAGTATAGGTCAGGAGACCATTTATATTCATTCATCCATCAATAATTTAACATACACAATCATTCAGAGGGAGAGTCATGCTTCGGCATGAATGGGTCGGCTCGACCAGAATCGTTGTTGGATGTCGGGATGTTGCAAACCAGCTAGACTCTTTGTGGCAATGCGTAGAGATGTTACTTTGTTGTGCATTTTCTATCGCTTACACCACGGAGAGTGCTTTGAGGAATGTTTAATCGATACCTACCGCCTCTTTTCACCATCGACCCTCACGACAGCATATTATAAAATGAAAATGCTTGATCAACAGACAATGAACTACTAATTTATTTCAAACGAGAATGTATTACATACTATGAGATAGATGGCGCTGTTATTCCGTTTTGTGATATTGTCGATACAAAATATAGATTAAAAATAACACCCCCACTTATCGCAATATTCACTAAACAATTTCATACAAAATCATTCTATACAAACTATACCAAGAAACAACATAAATTTATAATGTTTTGCTGAACATAAGCTTTTAGTTAAAATGTCAGCTGGCATATCAGCTGTAGGCAGATACAATATTTTAACAACTTTATCTTTCACTAGATCACAACGTTAAAAAAAGTTTATCTCTATCTGCAAAGTCTATTTCCACTAAGAATGTCCAAGAAATTGCGAGAAAAACACCAAAAAACTACACTGGGCACATAACCTATTATAAAATGAAAATGCTTGATCAACAGACAATGAACTACTAATTTATTTCAAACGAGAATGTATTACATACTATGAGATAGATGGCGCTGTTATTCTGTTTTGTGATATTGTCGATACAAAATATAGATTAAAAATAACACAGCATATACTTACATCGCCACCATATCTCTCCAGCATAGATGGTACTGTTACGAGAGTCCTTTAGGATTTCTTTTTAAAAAAAACTAATTTTATATTAGAACTATTTTAATTAGTTAAAGGACTGAGTATACAACCGTACCGTTCGGAGATCTTGTCCAGACTGAGGGGTCTGGCATGCCACCTTACACGCTAAGATATAATAATGATGACGATGTAGTTTTATGTCACCCCAGCATAAACCCTTACATATCAGGGATATAACAGTACGCAGGTCACAACTGTGCGGTTCTCACGATGCTTTCTGCCTCGTACAGCAAAACTGTGGAATGATCTATCGTCGGCGGTATTTCCGAACCGATACGACCTTCAAACGTTCAAGAGCGTATTCCTTTTTAAAAGGCCGAAACGCACTTGTGACTCCTCTGGTGTTGCCGGTGTCCATTGGCGGCGCTGATTGCTTATCTTCAGGTGATCCGTCTGCTCGTTTGCCTCCTATTCCATAAAAAAATCATACCATGGCCCCACAGAAAACCGAAGTGAAATAACGCTTACGTTGCGTTTCATCGTGTGAGTGAGGTTAGTGGACGCCCAATCGCCTCATCAACGGTGACTAAATGTATCTTATTTACTAGAATATAATACAGTGAAACCTGGTTAAGTGAGACATCAAGGGACCTGCAGTGTCGTTTTTCTTATAGAGGTATTCCACTTACCCAGTGTCTCAGATATACAGGTATAAATAAATATCTGTCTCATTTACAGAGGGTTCTATTAATAGAGGTGGACTTGGAATTACGTGTGGAATACACATTCCACACGTAATTCCTAGAATAGAATAAGAATGAGTAAACAAACAATTTTTTCTCAGTTACAGAGGTTTATGCATATAAAATTTACTCGCTGTCTCAGTTATAGAGGTGACTATGATGATAAATCAAAAGAACAAATCCCAGATATAGAGGTTTACCTCGTCCCACTAACAGAGGTAATTCAGTGCCAAAGTGTTGGGACCTCAGCACGAGTTCCAGTTATGGAGGTTTCTCACTTATCCAGGTCCCACTTAACCAAGTTTCACTGTAGTACATTTAATTTTTGTATCGCTAGTCGAGTGGTCACATCGCTTGCTTAATACGAGGTACTAGATACATATATTATCAATACGGAGTCTGGAATTATATCCGGTGTTTGGCAATAGATACGACCCATATTCAGATGGAGATTCATTGCTCAACACAAAAATTCTGCGCAATAATGGAGCCCACCGTATGTATGCTAACCAGTTATTTTATGGGATAATCCGTTATATGGGCAGATGGATCACCTGATGGTAAGCAATCGGCGTCGCCCATGGACACCTCAGATCAGGGGCATTACAACTGCGTTACCGGCCTTTTAGGATTGGGGAAGGGGGAGGGGATAATTGGGCCTCCGAGATGAAGCCCCGGCTTCAGTGTGTGTGTGTTCTCGTTCTTTGTCCTACAGGAATTAGCTTGTGTTACATCATTAGAAGCTCCAAATTTGACAGTTTATGTGATTTGACCAAAAACTACTTACATTTGCGCCGTCTGGAACTGTCTGTCTCGGGAAGAGTAGGGGTGGCGATAAATTTTAATGTACTCCATTCTGCTGTTACCACATGTCTTTACAGCGTCCAGTCTTTGTCAAATGTGTAGTTTGTTAGTCGGGTATCGCACACCCACAGGAAGAGGAGAGGTGGTGATACATGTTTTATGCTGTCCCGTCAGCACATGCCTTAAGACTATCTATCTACATTATTTTTTTTTTGTTACAGAGCATAGCCAACGTGGTTTCCCAGAAAGATTTATTCACCCGTTTTGGCTTAAACAACCTGATAACTTTGACCAATACCAAGCCGATAGCGAAGATGACTGCGCGTGAGTTCATGATGGGTTACAAATCTGAGCTGATGACTTTGGGGAACACTTTCATGCCTGGTTGGATCTATTTCGACAAACTTGGCCTTATTGATCGGGTAAGCCCTTTAAATTTGTCGCGGAGAACCTAACGGGTAACCGGGGCTCCGGCTCGACATTTCAGGAGAAGGAACGGGGTGGTTTTTAGTCAGTAAGAGTCTGACACTCCCTCCCGCCTCACGCAGGCGGGAGCAGACATTCGATGATTTTCACCCCTTAAAAAAAAAGTCCCTCTAGCACACTCAAGGCGGGCGAAGTCAATGTATGGCTGTACCCCCCTCCCCCCCCTCAAATAAAGTGTTAATTATTTCATTATGATATTTAACCATTTTTTGGCGAACGGACGAATAAGACATACTAAATTAACTAAAATCGCGGATTACTCACGTGAATATACTGAGAAAAGCTCTACTAGTTTCGAACCAGTGAGCTGCGCGACATCACCGCGACCGCGCACGCTACTCATGAGGAAGAACCCCTCTGTGGTTCGAAACTACTACTAGTTTAGTACTACTACTAAGGTCTACACAATTTCTCAATATAGTCACGTGAGTTACCCGCGATTTTAGTTAATACAGCGATAGCATGTCGAAAAACCAGCGAGTCAACACAGTCAATTAAAATTATATTTCTACCTACACAGATGTACGACTTCGACGGCGACTTCGAAACAGTCTTCACTGGGGCTGATGATGTGAGGAACTCAGGTCTGATCGATACCTACCGAGGGTCGACAGACCTGCCCCAGTGGGAAGGGAAGCATTGCTCCAACGTGCAATACGCATCAGATGGCACCAAGTTTCGAGGTGGAGTGACTAAGAATGAGAGTATACTGTTTTATAGAAAGAGTCTCTGCAGAGCTGCTCCTTTGGTAAGTGAAGATGAGCATCATCATTAGTTATCATTAATAGACCCTATTAAGCCACTTGTGGGCCATTAAAATCATTTCTTTATGGGATAAGCTGGTATACGAGCAGACGGATCACCTGATGGTAAGCAATCGGCCGCCCATGGACGCTAAAACACCAGAGGCGTTACAAGTGCGTTACCGGCCTTTTGGGGATTAGGAATTTGAGCATTTTTGGGGATTAGGAATTTGAGCATTTTTGGGGATTCGGGGATTGGGGAGATTGAGCGTGGGTAATTGGGCGTTAATACACGACGAAACACAACGCATGCGCTGTTTCATGTCGGTTTTCCGTGAGGCCGTGGTGTCATCTGGTCGAGTCGATCCATTCATTCTTAAAATTTGCTATAATATGGATCATTTGGAAGACTCCATTAAGATCTGCTTACTATACCTAATCTCCACACATGCCATGCTTACTGGGGATCAAAAGTCTCAAGTTCAATTCCCGGATAAAGTGATATTGGAGATATTGTGGCTTTTCAAAAAATTCTCAGTAACGCTTGACATTTCGTTATAACACAAGCTTTCATAAGGACCACACCAGTAATAGATGTTGGCAGGCCACAACTGTGCGCTTCTCTCGTAGCTTTCTACCTCGCATAGCAAAACTGTAGAATGATCTGTCGTTGGAGATATTTCTGAACCGATAAGACATACAAACCTTCAAGAAAATAGCGAATTCATTTTTAAAAAGCCAACGCACCTGTGACTTCTCTGGTGTTGCGGGTGCCCTTGGGCGGCGCTGATCGCTTAACTTCGAATGATCCGTCTGATCGTTTGCCTCCCATTCCATAAAAAAACAATCTTGCGTTTAAAATCCAAGGTTCGATTCCAGGTACAAAACTAATAGCATTTTTTCTTAAACAGATACCAATAGATGAGGGTGTGAAAAGTGGACTGAAAGGGTACAAGTACACCTTCCCCGAAAACATGTTAGACAACGGAAAATACATCAAAGAAAACGAATGCTTCTGCCGTCATGGTAAGGTTCATTTTTATATAGTAAACTTTTATATTTTCATCTACTAGACATGTTAGGTTTGATATTTCATAAATAATACAAAAAGTTCCTACAATAAAGTGTCGATAAGAACTGTCGACTGTAGAGCGTTGTCAACACTATAAGGTCCACTATTAGGGCTCGTACACAAAGCTACGACACGATGCGATGCGAATTCGTGCGACAAGCCGTCTCCCAGCGTGACCATTCCTTCGACGACCGTCAACCGTACTAAACGGATTTTAAATTGAAAACTAGGTCGTGACATGGATCGTAAAAAGAAGTGTGCACTTTTGTTATTGCTTAGGAGATACAGGAAAAAGAAACAAAGAAGATTTTGGTAAGATAAGATTTTGATGCGCGATGCGAATCAATTCGCAAGTTCTTGCGATGCGTAGAGGGAGCTCGCACATTTTTGCGATGCGACGTCGCATCGCAGTTTTGTGTACGAGCCCTTAGACTATAAAAGCGGGAATGAGAAGATTTTACCATAATCTCCACGTTTGGCAGACAAGTTAGAGATTACTGTTTAAAAGATTTCAGCTAAATCAGAGACCGTTACTACTTAACTACCTGGACTCCATCACATATTCCTTAATCAAGAGCAGCGGTGCCCACAAGTAAAGTCTCCCTTCTCTAGAATTAATACTCTATATTTTCTTCCAGGTAAATGTCTGCCAGCTGGTCTGATTGACGTCACAGACTGTTACTACGGATTCCCCATAGCTCTGTCATACCCTCACTTCTGGAAAGGCGATGAAATACTCTCCAGTAAGGTTGAAGGTCTTACTCCAAACCCTGAGCAACATGAGACTGCGTAAGTTTACTTCTGTTACCTATTCTTTTATATACTTTGTAAGAAGTAGTCAAAGTCAAAATCAAAATCATTTATTTCAATTAAACTTAAGAAGTCATTTTTGACCGTCAACAGAAAATTGAAGCTATTTTCTCATTCCAACGTGTAGATTCCTATGGAAAAGAACGAGCAAGAAACTCCATAGGTTACGTTTTTCAATTCAGTTTTATCATCACTACCGTTAGTCACTACATCATTATAAAAACAGTCATCTACATTACTTTTCTCTTAACTCGACGAGTACCGGTTTTGTAGACACAATTATAGAACAATAGGTTGCGGTCACCGGTGACCGCTTGGTGTTTGACAGTTTAAACAAATCCATTGGCCCACACTATGCCTTTGTTGGATGGCTTGAATTTCCTCCTGTGTCGTGTGTGCGCTTATAAAAATACAAGTTCACATACACATCACAGTCAGACTCGAAACAACAATTTGTGGATCACAAGGAGTCACACGTTAAGGAGGCCATACAGGCTAGGTTATGCATAATGGTTATAACTTTGCATGTAAAACCGACAAGCATAACCGACTTTCATACCACACATACACGTTAGGTTTTGCATGTACATACATGCGCCGATAACTGTACAATTTAATCACATACACGCCTTGCCTGTCGGTTATGCATGCACGGCTAAAACCATCATGCAAAACCTAGCATATATGGCCTCCTTTAGTCTGTATCCATGATAGCCTATTGCCCAGCCACTGCGCCAACCGTGCAGTCTACGTCATTACTATCTACATCACCATCACCTAAATCACATTATTATCTTCATCGCCACCAAGGATCTTCATGCACATCTTATACTTCAATACATAGTATAAAACAAAGTCGCTTTCGCTGTATGTCCGTATGTATGCTTAGATCTTTAAAACTACGCAACGGATTTTGATGCGGTTTTTTTTAATAGATAGAGTGATTCTTAAGGAAGGTTTGTATGTATAATACATGCATATTGCACCCGTGCGAAGCCGGGGCGGGTCGCTAGTATTATATAAAGCGGAAGAGTTTGTGTTTTTGTTTGTTTGTTTTAACGCGCTAATCTCCGTAACTACAAGTCTGATTTGAATAATTATTTTTGTGTTGGATAGCGCATTTATCGAGGATGGCTATAGGGTATAAAACATCACGCTACGAATAATAGGAGCTGAGAAGAGCGTGTGAAATCGCGTGGAAGTAGCTAGTCATTAATAAGATCACGATCATCACTAGTGTAATTTACATTTGAGATACTGTTTGATGCAATATTTTGCAATCTACCACGGTTGCTGACTAAGCGAAATAATAGTGCAGTCGGCACTGCGTGTGTTGCTAACGCAGTGCATACTCAAACAGCGTACCAAGTGCATTCATAGCCATTATTCTAGCATGCTTTAGTGTAATAAACTATTTTTATATCTAGTGCAACAAACTGTTCACCCCAGCAACTGCCACATAGGTTGCAACCCAAACAGATATGGAGTTTCTTGCTCGTTCTTCTCCTTTTGAATCTTCATTTTGGAATGAGCACCTAGCTTCACCTAGCTTCACTGACGGACTGACTGACAGGCTATTATTTATTTTGTATTTGTTGACATTTCAAAAGTAACAAATTATGGTTTAAACTGTCAAACACCGCGAGAACACCGGTGACCGCAACCTATTGTTCTATAATTGTGTCTATAATGACGGCACTTAACGATTTAATTGAAATAAATACTTTGACTTTGACTTTGATTATTACGTTTATCGTTTATCCTTACATTTTCTGTTTTGTTCAGTTTGAAAAATTATTTTTGTTCTAACCAAAAACTTTGACTTCTCTTCAGATTCTGGATTGAACCCGAGTCTGGTCTACCACTGGACGTCAGCTCCAAGTTCCAGATTAACATGGCGCTTGGAGACATCACCTCAATCAAGAATGCTGAACGTTTTGCCAACATGTACCTACCACTGCTGTGGTTTGATATTGTAAGTATTGAGGAAATATAGGAGCTATAGGAACTATAAATAAAGGAGCACGTGCGTAGTCATTCTATGTGAATGATGACTTTGCACTTGATCCAAAATTTCATGCCAACTACATTTCAGCCAATGACAGTAATCTATTACAAAACTATATGCATCCTTTTTTAGATTTGTAGAATTTTAATTGCTGTATAAGTTTTTCCTATTAAATAGTAATGCTTTTTACGATATTTGAAACGGTAGGCATGGTCGTTGATAATTTTCCATAGTTTTATATCTGGAAGTTGGATATTAAATAACGTTCAGATTAATAGTAATTAATGAAATAATAGATACCGACCTATTATTAAATCGAATTAATTTCGTTATAAGATATGATTATCTATTTATTGCCCAAATTATTTTGCCTATTGGAGCAAGTCAACAACATTTCAGCCAATGATAGTAGTTCATTACAGAACTAATGAAAGGAGGTTAATTATAATATTCAGGCTCCATGCTAGGCAAACTATTTAGGTGTAGGTGGATTTAAGTTTGTCAGAGAGCGTTACTGTATCTCCGTCTTATGTCTGTGTCCGTTCATCGGTACTTACCATACAAACATATTTTATTGTAATAAATGTATTCCACTCCACTCTACTCTCCTACCACGAGGCCATTTCACACTTGTATATTGAAAAGATATCGAACTAACTCCTTTTGCTCGGCTACTCGCACAAAACCAAGAAAATAATTTCTAATAATCACAATTTTTCTCCACAGACTATGAACTCCCTACCGCCATCAATGAAACAGCGCTTCGGGCTCTACCTAAATATCCTACCACTCGTAGAACAAGGAGCCATGTACCTCCTCTTCATCACCGGCGCCATCTTCATTCTCTCAACTGTCTACATCCTCACCTTCAAGATCATGTTCAGAAAACAACAGCATTTCGACCAGTGGAAAGAAAACGAAGGTGTCTACGGTCGTTGCGAAGTCCCTATGAGTGACACTGATCTAGAATCAGACAACAAACATTCAATTTTGAAAAATCGTACCGAAAAAATCAAAGATTTGGGCACTAAGTTCAGTGACCGCATGTATGATACAGTCGGAAGTGTTAAAGACAGAGTTGTAGAAGAATTGCACCATGTCAAAAACGTCTTTGATAGGAGAAGTTCGAAACATGTCGAGACTGATTTTAAAAATGATAATAACCAGTATACAGCGATTAAACAAAGTGACAGTGATTCAGATGACTGCAAATATTTAGAAGTGCTTGATGATGGATCGGGTCTAGTGCCAACTAAATTTGAAACTGAACGGTCGGAGAAATTAAAAGAAATGGACTCGAATGAAAGGAGGTAGAAGACTTCTTTGGATTATTTTTATGATTATAGACTTTTTTATTAGACTTCTGTGTTGATGCATGGCCTGTAATTAGAAAAATCCTTTTAGAAAATGGATTTTTTAATTGTTCACTCTTGAGTGGGTGAAAAGGATGTATGTGAAAAAGAAGCAATATAAAAATAAGGTACGAATTTAAAATATCTTTACTGAAAATGTAAAGATAAAAAATCTTGCCATGGTTACGACTGATATTTTTTTAGTTTTATCTTTTTATTTTTCGAATTTTATTTTGTGAAATTTTAATTGCAGTATAATTTTTCCTATTAAATAATAATGCTTTTTACGATATTTGAAAGGGTAGGGTCGTTGATAATTTTCCATAGTTTTATATCTGGGAGTTGGACATTAAATAACGTTCAGATTAATAGTAATTAATGAAATAATAGATACCTATTATTACAACGAATTAATTTCGTTATAAGATAGAATTAAGTATCTATTTATTGCTCAACTTAATTTGCCTATTTTTCTCTTAATATTATGTCAAAATAATAATGCATTTTTTAATTTGCATTGAGTGGTATTTATATTATTGTCTTATTAAATTAAAATAATACATGGTCCCTACTTAAAAGAATTCGTAATTTGTAATAATTGTCAAATAATAATGACTCATAATACTTTTCATTTTTTACCAAACACTGGAGATGCATTTTTTTATAGTATGGTGCATTTAAAACTGTCTCTTATTAGAAAAAAGTACGCTGTATTTATTTTTCATTAATTAATTATTATTATTTTACGCCAGTGAATGTCAATGTAAAAATAAATAAAATTTCAAAAATAATTAAATAATTATACATTCCGTTATTATTATAAGACTTTCTGCTTGTTTAAGAAATGACATTAGTTTTTATATTTTTTAATTTATAAGTAAAAGAGCATTTTGTCTATAGAAAGCAAGTTGTTGAATTATAAGTAATATTAGGTATGAATAACAAATAAAATAAGGGCCGATACAACTATTATACTATATACAACTGTCCTCCTGCGGATTTATTCGAGTAGGTCTGAAAAGTAAACTTTCTAATGATGAAAGTATTTTTCAAAACGGTCCATTAGTTTCAGGAGCTAGTTCAATGAGGGCTACCAGTTTATGGCCACTAGATGGCGCTATTCTACAAAAGTTCAATTTGGTATATTCGTTTTGAAGTTCAATAATGTGACACTAGCTAAAGCCAAGGATACGCCAGGAGACAAATGTCCTGCAATACGTGTCGCCAGCGACATCATGTGAAGTAACGCGACATTGCCGGACTTTGGTCTATATGTCTGGCAACGTCCACGTCACTGTGAACATAGGTTGCGCGTTGTCACCGTATATGACAGGCGATATCAGCCGACTTCGAGAGCGAAGTCGGCTGATGAAACATTTTTCTCCTTGTATATCTTTGATTTAATTCCCTATCGGACAAAATAAAGAAGGACCGTCATCGTACGTCGTACCGTCATTAGACGAATAACGTTAATTGCTCCCGTTTTTAACAAGCGAACAAATAAATACTTAAGAAAAATGAGGTGAATGAAATTGAAGGGGTGAATACTGAGATGTTATGAAAAATTTCCTAACATCCACCCCTCGATTTCTATTCACCCCGTTTTGCCCGGTAGTGATAAAATCTAATGAAATGTTATTCAAGATGGTATCCATGTAAAAACCTTGCTAATTCCATTCCTATGAAACTGAACAGGTTTGCTCAATTCAATATTCCTTTGTATAACCGTAACTACCTTTCTATGCCTTACAGACTAGTCTAAGCTAGATTTTAAGATAGACCTAAGTTCAAGTGAGCCCTATCCATCAGCAAAACGACAAACTTTAAAATGTGAAGTTTACGACCTATTTCACAATCTCTGATTAAGTTATTATTAGATAAACTGGCATTTAGCAAAATTGGAATGCTAATTCTCTCCTTTTCCTGTCTCCAATCCTTCAGATTCTCAAATCCCTAATCAAAAAATCTGGTGACGCTCTAGTATAGCGGGTGTCCATGGGCGCCGCCGATTGCTTACCATCAGGTGATCCGACTGCTCGTTTACAGGGTTATCCCATAAAGAAAAAAAAATCTGTCAGTTAAACTAATATTCTAATAATCAGATATTGTGAAACAGACCTTTATTAATATATTTTGGAATATAACAAGTAGCTGTCAAAGTTTACCAGTTTATAGACAAATTTTTAAACATACCAGTTGACACTACTCGTATAATAAAAGTTAAATATTCAACAAATACCTATTATTATTTTACTGATGGAATAAGGGCAATCCAGGCCTAAATGAAATTAGCCTATAAGTTATTTTATGTATAAGAATTCTTGGTCATGTATTGGTAAGTTATAAGTACTAGTTGAGCCTTATAATTGGCCTTTAGCCGTATATTTAGGCCTCAACCTAATTACCAACTCATGTTGTGATATCTAATGTATAATAAAATGTATTTATGAAATTATAATTTGAATAGATTATTTTAAGCGGTATTTATTTTTCGTTGGCTGCATAATAATATGTAACATTTTATTTTTAACACGTTTGATAAAATAATAACAAAAATTACGAATATATTTTGTACATTTAAACAAGTTTAACTAGTAATAAAGCCGGAAAATAATTTTGGAACATAAATAAAATAAAATCAGTTTCATTTATTGCTAAAATTATTATTCAGCCAATGAAGAATATTTAAGTGAATTATGTTTAAAATGTGTACGTAAATAAATAATTAGATATTATTTTCAATAATATTAATAATAAGCAAAAAGTATTCTCTCTACGTTTGGTACTTGGTCTACTGTTTTGTACATAGTTGTCGATTTATTATTGAAAATAAATGAAAAAATATTATTATAAAGATAATTTATGTCTTTCATTTTATAGTACCTACTTTACACTTTTACCAACCACTCATACGTTTTAAGGAACCCCTAAGCTAAGACAGGTGTCACGGAGAACCTAACGGGTTACCGGGGCTCCGGCTCGACGTGCAGGAGTAGGAACGGGGTGGTTTTTAGTCAATAAGAGTCTGACACTCCCTCCCGCCTCACCCAGGCGGGAGCAGTTATTCAATGATTTTCCGCCCCTAAAAAAAGCTAAGACAGGTGACATATAACGACACTGTGTTATTACCAACTTAAAAACTTAAAACAACCAACGTGACGCGGGCTCGATTCCTTTACGGAACAACTCTTTGTGTGATCCACAGATTGTTGTTTCGGGTCTGGGTGTCATTGTGTATGTGAACTTGTATGTTTGTAAACGCACACACGACACAGGAGAAAATCTACGGAGAAGGCTACGTTTTTTTTAAACAAAAAACCAACTTATATGATTGATACCTAGCAGTACCTACAAGTAGTTAGTTTAGTTGCTACTTCACGCTAAGTACGCTTTATTTACGAGGTCGTTTAGGGATGGGTGGTTAATGAAATTGGTCATCGAATTCTCCCTTAATAACGACCACTTTATCAAAGTTAAAGCATTTATTTCTATTAATCCTTAATTAGGCATCTTCTGAAACTTCAAAAACTAAATTGTCCGTCCGTCTGTCTATGAAGCTAGGCGCTCGTTTCAAAGTGTAGTTCTGACTGGAGAAGAACGAGCTAAAAACTCTATTGTTAGTCTTTAAAAAGTAACTTTTGGATTCTCATTGATACATTATTTGATCCTGTACCTATTGTATATCGGCTCTAAGAATGGGGCTGTTTACGTCGTCAAAATTATTCGTACATCGACCTATTTTTAAAATTAATAATGTATCATCTGCGAACAGCGCCATTTTTGGTTCATTTTCGAATATGTATGGTATATCGTTAATGTAGACCAGAAAGAGAAAAGGACCTAATATTGAACCTTGAGGAACGCCCATACTAATCTCAAACCCTGAATTATTATTAACACCATTTACATGAACTTTTAGGTGCCTATCCTCTAAATATGATTTTAATAGACGGAGTGTAGTATTCCTCTCTCATTTCTTTAGTATATCGAACATAACATAACATCACGCCTTTTATCCCCGAAGTGGAAGACAGACATTACGGCACATAACGCCACTGTACAATGTAACATCCACGTTACACTATTTATTTTACGAGTCACATGTAAAAGGGGGTGAACCTATTGCCATAATTATACCGGGCACAAATCCAGACTCCGTGCTACTACTGAGATCTTTTTAAAAATCCCAAAAATACTTTGTCCGACTTGGGAATCGAACCCTAGACCCCTTGTCCGGCAGTCTCTCTTGGGATCACTCGAAACTTGCCCTTAAACTTAAGCAATCATAATTAAATGATACAATTGTCTAGCCTCGTATGACAATGGTGACGTTAAAACACTGCGATAAGAATTCTTAAAACTATAAAACTGATATCTGTGAGAAAGAAATAAAAATAGACACTTTAAAATGAAAAACTTAACTTTAATTATAATTATAACTTAACATAAGTATTAAATGAATTCTTAGAATAAGTTACTCTGAATGCCAAACAGTTGGACCAGCTTCATGCAGATCCACCAGAATAAGACAGCGTGGAATACAACTTGTATCGTCTGGTCAAGTATCATCATTCTGGAAAAGAAATATTATAGACGTTAGCTCTGTTAGACGGGTAGGTAGAGGTACACATCTAGCCTGTAAGTGAATCGCAAGTGGGTTGAATACGCAGGTCGTGCAGTCTTGAGATTCTTCGAGTTTTTTTCATTTTTCTTAGAAAATTCTTAGAAAATACATTATTGATTAGAATTTAAATGAAATAAATATATACAACTTAAAATATAAATAATTTAAAACTAAAATAGGTATTTACACCTTAAAAAACAAATGTGTAACCAACGGCGTTTTCCATGTTTATAAAATAATACAATTATAAAATAAGAATAGGCAATAATACCTTTTACAATGAGCCCTGGCCTTCGGAATGTCCTCATCCTTCTCCTTTAATAAGAACTTCCTGCCTCCTAGACAGCATTTAGTGAAGTATTCCACCAGGTCAGTGGTCTCCAAGTCATAATAGAACTGCTTTTCATCCGAATGTTTCAGTACTGAACGGAGATGCACAAAGTTCGTATTGTCAAACGTCCATTGCTGGGTTAGATAGTAACCTAGGGCGAGGTTTGCTATGTAGATGCGGCGTTGGATTTTGACCAGCCTGGAAAAATGATAAAAAGAGATTATATTTC